AACACAGCAATCCCGACACCCTGAGGAACTGGGCACAAGCAGGGAACGTGCATTTCAGTACAAACGTGTCAAATCACATCTACAGGGACGAGGATTCAGTCCCAGTTCGCCCAGTCCCACAAGAAAGGATAAGGATCCTTCAAAAGAACCCAGAGAAATGCCATTGCTGAAATGGTTAAACAAAGGGGGATGCAGGCAGGGGGAATCTCAGCATCCCTTCTGGCATGCAGCTGATCGCCACGAGCGCATGTATGTGGGGAACTGGATCTGCCAAGGGAAAGGCTAAAGCAGTGCCAAGGGCTGGGAAGAGCCAAAAATGTTGGCTGAAAACCTTACCAGAGGAGCAGGGGCCAAAGATTACCCTTAAACAGGCGCAGGGAGCACAGAGGTGTGGCGATGGATGAAGTTCTCTGAGGTGGGAGTGCCAGGCCCAGCAGAGTAAGAAGGCAGGGACAGCCTCTGGAAGCATTTAACGGGCAGTTCTCTGTCTCTGGAAACATTTCCAGAACAATTGGCTGTATGTGCTCCAGTTCAGCCAGGAATGCTTCCTGGAAGAACTCGATTACCCCTAGAGCCTTACAATGTATTGGCTGGGTCCAGCACTATCAGAGGAGGCCCAGACCCGAAACAGGCACAGAGCCATGACAGCCTTTTATCATGAAAACATCACGTCCTCATGGGCCGTGACTGGGAGACAGCTTGGACAGGCCCTGCTCCAGCACACAGGGAAGCTGCTCTCAGCCCTCAGCACATACTTGGCCCCCTCCAAATCCCAAGTACAGCATGGCTGCTTCCCACCCTCTGTGCTGGAGGGACGGATCAGGGTCCTTGTCACACGTCCTTGTCATGCCTGAGCCCACGTCACTCACACCTGGTGGGGTGGTGGCAGATCTGCTGCCCTGGACATCAAAATCATGGCAGGGAAAGGGACCCTGCTGAGCCCTGGGGCTCCCCTCAGGGGAGGCCCAGCTCCACCTTAAGCTGCAAAATCAGAGAATCCCAGAATGGTTTAGGTTGAAGGGGCCTTAAAGCTCAGCCAGTCCCACCTCCTGCCATGGGCAGGGACACCTTCCACTACCCCAGGTTCCTCCAAGCCCTGTCCAACCTGGCCTTGGACACTTCCAGGGATGGGGCAGCCACAGCTTCTCTGGGCAGCCTGAGCCAGGGCCTCACCAGCCTCCCAGCCAGTAATGCCTTCCGAACAGCCCACCTATCCCTGCCCTCTGTCCACTTGAAGACATTCCCCCTTGTCCTGTCCCTTCATCCTTTGTCCAAAGTCCCTTTCCAGCTCTCCTGGAGTCCCTTTAGGCACTAGATGGGGCTTCGAGGTCTCCCTGGAGTCTTCTCCAGGTGAACAGCCCCAGCTCTCCCAGCCTGGCTGCAGAGCAGAGGGGCTCCAGTCCTCAGAACATCTCTGTGGTCTCTTCTGGACTCCCTCCAGCAGCTCCACATCCTCCTGATGTTGGGGACCCCAAAGCTGGAGGTGGCATTGCAGGAGGGTCTCACAAAGGCACGGCTGAGGGGCAGGGAACAGAGAAGAGAGCCAAGGAGAAGACAGCTGCCAGCCTGAATCTGACTTGGTTTCTCCTCTTCCATCAGGTCACCAGCTCCACTACTCCTCAGAAAGGCCTGTGACCCCAAGGGATGACACCAGAGGTTTCTGACTGCAAGAGACTGTCACCACCAGCTTCTGCAGGGCAAAAAAACCTTGTCACCCCAGCAAGACTAGGACTCCTGTGCTGTAGGAGCACAACAAAGAGAATGCAGGGAGCAGAGATGCCCTGCTGTGATGGAGCAGAGCTGCAGAAGGGATGAAGGGCTGAACTGCAGGCAGCAGCAGCCATCAGCTGCTGGCTCTGAGCAGCACGGGCCGTGCAGGCAGCGTGCAGCCGCTGCCCAGCACAATGGCCCTGCCTGCGCTGTGGCTGAGCGGAGCCAATGGATGCGGGAGGCAGAGGGAGAAACGCGCTCAATGTGCTGCATGGGAGGGACGAGGAGGGGAGGGAAGGGGGGAGGCGCAGACAAAGAACAGGGAGATGGAAAGAGAAAAGCAGGCAGGGAGCAGAAGGTGAAGCGGGGAGGACGGGGCTGGGGAGATGTGTGCGTGCAGCCCCTCGGCAGCGCGGAGCCGGGCAGCGATGGAGAGCAGCGGGCAGCCAGCCCCTCGCAGGGCCCTGCAGGAGCGGCAAGCCAGGCCCAGCGAAATGAAAATCTCTTAACCACACAGAATTGTTAACTGCTCCCAAATCCTTTTGTGCTGGGGCTGCGAGCTTAGAAGAGCTTAAGCTGTTAGATGCATGAACTTCCTCCATAAATATCCCTTGTGCACACTGCCGCGAGCAGGCTGGCGCGCTATTAGCCAGATGAAAAACCCAGCGGAGGAAATGAGCAGCTCCTTCCAGCTGCACAGAGGGGCTGTCCATTCCTTGGGATGCCCTTCTCCACCTGGACCCTTTGGTGGGGCAGGACCGTGTCCCCCCATCCTCCCTGCCGTGTCCTGTTTGGGTGCCTGAGCGTGTGAGAGAGCTTTGCCCCCAAAGCCAGCTCAGATTTGCTATTGTTTTTCTTCTGGAAAGGGGCCCAGATTCCCTCCCACCCCTGGAAACACGAGCAAACCTGCCAGCCACATGTAGGAGTGAGTCCCCCAAGCCAGGCGGCTCCGCCGCTCCTCCGCAGGGAGCAGGGGCAGGGACCCGTGGGAAGGACGGCAGGGATGCAGGGATGCAGGGATGCAGGGATGCAGGGATGCATCCCGCAGGTCCTTCCCGAGCAGAGCCGGGGCCACCAGCCCCTTCCCAGCCCTTTGTGGGGCTCATGGGAGGGCTGGGAGAGGACGGGGATTCCACGGCTGTCCTGCCAGCTCTGCGTCTGGCTCTCCTCCCAGTCCCCACTCCTCTTCTGCAGGCTGCCCGGGAAAAATGGAGTGGCACAATCCCGGGCTCCCATCCAGCCCTGATCACACCCCACATGAGAGGGGGAAGGGAAAGAAGGAACGGGGAAGGCAAGGGCAAAGACCAAAGGGAAAGGGAAAGAAAAGAAGAGAGAGAGAAAGCAATAGGAAGGAGAAGAAAAGGGAAATAGGAAGGGGAAGAGGAAGTGAAGAGGGAAGGGAAGGGGAAAGGGAAGGGGAAGGGAAAGGTGAAGGAGAAGGGGAAAGGTAAGGAGAACGGAAAGAAGAGAAGAAAAGGGAAAGAGAAGGGGAAAGAGAAAAGAAAATGGAAGAGTAAGGGAAAAGCAAAAAAACAGGGAAGGGGAAGGAGAAAGGAAAGAGGAAGGGGAGGCAGCTGCCCCGTGGAGACGATGGGATGCCGGCCACGGCGTGATTAATGCGGGCGGGGAGTGCGGGGCCGGCTGCAGAAACAGCTGCCGAGGTACCGGACCTCCCAAAATCCTGCTGCTGCTGCTGCTGCTGCTGCCAGACAAAGAGGGACCGGCCTCTCCTCCGGCTGGCCGCTCCCTGTTCGCTCCCCCGAGCCCTGTGGACAGGCTCTGCAGGAGGGGTCCTGCCAGGGGAGCCAGGCTGGGCTCGCAGCAGCACCGCGGGGCTCCCCCAGAAACCCCGGCTGCATCCCAGCACAGTCCGGGAAAAAACCTGCCATGAATCACTGGGGCTTTCTGGTGTTGCTACAGATGCTTCACTTGGGAGTTGTAAAACCCCCCGTCTGCCCTTCGAGGCCGGGATTAGCCGGGCTCGGTTTCCAGCAGTGCTTCCTTGCTGTCCCCATCCCCATCCCTGCTAAGGCTGGAAGACACTTGATCTGCCCGAGCTCGGTGGGAAGAGGCGTTCAATGGCTAAGCGTGGAGTAGCTGAAATAATGGATACAAAATGATCCCCACAGCACACCAGGACCTGGATTTTGTGCATAGCAGCCCATCCACCAGCAGCAGACATGGAGCCATACAGCCTGCAGTCCCTACTGAGCACAAGCAGATTGTCCATTCCCCTCTCCAGTGTGTCTGTCTCCCACCTCCAGCACCTTCCCCAGGCTTGGTTCTACCTGGCCAACCCTTTGCAGCCAGAAGAGAGGAGACACAGCTCCTCCCTTGGCTCTGCAATGGCCACCAACGTGTCTATAATGGATCTCAGAAGCGCTGGCTCTGCTTGGAGTGTGCCAATCCTATCAGAACCACACGCAGATTTGAATGTTCTGCCAGGACAGGGGAGAAAGAGCCTGTTTGCCAAACTCTGTGGTTTGCTCCATGTATGGCACAGCTGCAGGTGCCCATCACACAGCTCTGGGTCCCCACCTCCCTCCCAGCAACCCTAGGAGCTCCCTTCTCAACCTTCTCGAGCCCATGTATGGCTGGACAGGAGCACAGACATCAGCTCAGGAACGGGGGGGCTGAGCCTCTTGCTGGCCTGGGGCCACGCTGGCTCCGTGGTGCTCATCCGAGCTCAGCAGGCACTCACAGAGTCTGCTTTGAGCATCCACAGGGGCAGGAGAGCATCTACAGAGGCAGAATATTTATAGGGCAGGAAACCTCTGGCTGTTGAGGAGCACAGGGACCAGGCAGCTCTGAACAGGCCACGACCATCTCCTACCCTGGGCCATTTGCACATCACCAAGAAAACACTGTAGACAACTTGCTCCCTCCCACTGTACCCTTTTGGGACCCTGCATTCCCACTCCCCTCGTCCAAGAAGAGATTCAGCCCATGCCAAAGCACACAGCAAAACCAACAGCATAACAGCCCCAGTATTTTGGAAGGCAGCTGCAGATTGGTGACATGCACCACACATGTGTGCCTCCAAAACCTGGAGAACATGGATAGCACCAGTTACGGGTGCCCAGCAGCCCTGAGGACCCAGAGGTCATGCACAGCCTCTGCAATGGACGGATGAGCCTGGGGCAGGGAGCGAGGAGCTGGGAAGGAACCAGCCCCCACACATGCCCCTCTGCCAGCCCTGCCCAAGGAGTCCCTCCCAGACGGTTCATGCAGACCCCAGCTGCCAATCCCGGTGCCCCAGCAGCAGAGGCGAGCCCGCGGGCCGTGGTTACCTCTGCAGACGGTCCCGTTCTCCACCGACTCGTAGCCGGCCCGGCACATGCAGCGGCCGATGGGCACCAGCCACTCGCCGTCCCCGTTGCAGTACAGCTTGATGGGCACGTCCACCTCCTCGGCATTGGCGATGCACGTGCCCCTGGCTGCCACCAGCGAGGTGCTCTCTGCTCCCGACAGCGTTTCTTGGAAGACGGCCCCGTTCTGGATCACACGGGGACATTTGCGGTAGAAGACACGGACGGCAATCAGGGACATGCAGCCCCCGTAGTCCTGGAAGGCCAGGTAGAAACCATTCTTGGAGACAGGCCCAAAACTGCGCACCTCAGTGTTGATCTTCATCACCCGTCCACCTAAGTCCACCTGTGAGAAGCTCTCATCAGCAGCAATTGTGTCCACCTTCATCCAAGGATTCTCCATCCAGTTGGGGAAAGTCTTGGTGGCCGAGTCAAAGTCCGACTCAAAATAGTAGAGGTTAAAAGTCTCCTTACAGGAGCCTGGGACATTGGGGATGCTGCTGCAGTCCCGGACAGAAAATTTCATCTCCACGTGGATGCGGTGTGCTCCTCGCCTCCGGATGTACTTGGTCCGGAGCCAGTTGTTCTGGCTGGATTCAAAGACGTTGCACACCTGGTAGGTGCGGATCGTGTTCATGTTCTCATCGTACCCACTCACCTCTTCCCACTGCGGGCAGGACACAGACAGTCAAGGGGCTGCTCTGAACAGGGCTCCCCACCCTCCTGACCTCCTCCCATCCCCACCGTGTGCCACGAAGGCTCTGCCAGCACCAGATGCCCCTTTCTGTGCCCACCCCATCCCAGGCTGTCCCACAGTGCCTAGCACCTCATGCCAGCATCCCCCTGCAGGTGCCCTGTACCTGCCTGGGCAGAGTTTGACCCACACCATGCTCCAGGGAGGACAAAGGGGTCCCTCGTGGCCACCTTGCTGCCACTAGCACCATGCTGCATGCCTGGATTCAGGGTCAAGCCTCTCTGCTGCTGGAGGGACAGCAAGGCCACTGCTCTGCAGAAATGGTTTTAGTAGGGACTGTGCCCATGGCAGAGTTCAGTGCCTTTAGCACAGGGATACCCACCAGTGCCACTATGGCTACAGACATGGCAAACAGGACCTGCTTCCTCAAAGCCATAAAACCTCCTGCCTGGCTGCAGCCAGTGCCTCTTCCAGGGGCAGGATGGGACCATGGCCAATCCTGCTGTGCTCCCATAAAGGGAGGTGCTGGGTAAGTCCCACTGGAGCCCTCATCCCTGCCCCTTTGATGGTCAAATGCTCCTCCATTTGGGGCTCCACCAGCAGGAGTGCTGATGTCCCAGCTGTCCTGAACTGGATCTATGGGATGCAGACATGGCTACGAGTTGTGCCATGACAGCAACACCCTTCTCAGCAAGACAGCTCAGAGCTGATAGATTTCCCCATGGGAAGCTCTGCCTAGCTCCCCCCAGATGACTGACTGCCAGCTCTGGAGGAAGCTCTGTAGAGATACAGAGGAGAATATCCTGAGCTGGAAGGGACCCACAAAGACCATCAAGCCAACCTCATGGCCCTGTACAGTCATCCCAACAATCCTCCTCCTGTGCTTGAGAGTGGTGTCCAAAGGCTCCTGCAGCTCTGGCAGCCTTGGGGCTGTGCCCGTTCCCCGGGGAGCCTGGGCAGTGCCAGCACCCTCTGGGTGAAGAACCTTTTCCTACCATCCAGTCTAAACCCTTTTGACACAGTTCCAGCTGTCCCCTTGGGTCCCTACAAAGCTCAGGGCTGCTGTGACATCATGTGGACTTCTCCAGCTCTCTGCCCTTTTCTCAGGCTGTTTTTTCCCCAAATCCTCCAGCACTGGTTGTCTCCATTCTGTGTAGGATGGGGACATTTCAGAGAGGGAGATGCAGGACATGAGCTGCAGCCTGTAACCGGTCACTGCTCCTCTGCAGGGAGCACCAACAGGGAAGGGTCTTTGTGTGAGGAGAACCCTCAGCTCACAGAGCATCTCCCCCTGCCCAGCCTCTGCCAGAGTGCAGAGCATCTCCCTGCAGTCCCATACCCACCTAGGGTGATGCTGGGCAACGGGGACCAGAGTCCTGCTGGCGTGTGACACAGTCCTGGCCAGCTGGAACTGCTCCTTCTGAATTTGTTCATAAAACTGCTCAAGTGGAAGCCGAGCTGTTTCCCATGGATGCTACACCCCAAGCACAACCCTGCCCTGGATGCAGGATCACAACCAAGGCAGGGCAGCAGCACAGTCCAGATCCAGCACCAGTGCCAGGACCCAATCCAGGGAAAATCCTGCAGGAGCAGAGCACCCCCAGCCCCTCAGGTTGTAAATGGCCTCACAAGGGCACCCAGGACTGGGGAGAGAGGCTCAGGAGATGGGAGACAGATTGCTCCTCACACATCAAGGCTCAGAGCCCAACAGAAGGCTGTCAGGGAAGATCCCCAACAGCTCCAACCACTTCAGTTTGGCAGTAGCTGTAAAGCTGCTGCCAGGGCTGGGGGACATCCCTGCAAAACACAGCTGGAGCATTTGCTTTGTTTTCCAGAAATAAATTCTGCGTGTTAGTGGAAAATTGCAGGATCTCCCTGCTTTTCAGGGCACTGGTTGGGAGGGAAGTGAGGGAATCAAGGACAAGGCATGCGGAAGCAATTCCTTCCCTTGCCCTGCCTCCGATTTGGCTCTCCCTCACCTGGACCACTCCAGACACCCACCTGCAGCTACCAAGACAAAGAGACCCCCACCCACACCTGCTCAACCCCCTGGTGGGGAAGGACACAAGCCCAGAGAGCTCAGCTTTGGTCAGGCAGGAGCAGCACATGCTGGAATGCAGGTTTCCAGGACTTGGGATGAAGAGGAGATGCTGAAGGCAGGGCTTGGGGACATATATGAATAGCACAAGAGTTTCAGAGCCAGACGTAATGCAACTGTTTGGGCTTTGGGGTCTCTAATAATCCCCAAAAAGGAGCACACAGCAGCTTCTGTCTTCCGGGTGATGCTGGCTGCACCCAACCTGGCCAGTTACCTATGAGTAGGATGCACTGCCTTGTCCTGCCTGTGGACATGAGGCCATGAGGGTACCGCAGAATTGTCACCCATGATGAGCACAGAGCAGGACATGATGTGCCCATATCTTCCCTGAGGGCCCTGCCCAGAGGGGGAGACCACCAACCACTGGAACTGCACTGCACTGTCCAGAGAGGCATCTCCACCCTGATGGGGGACCTGGGAGCACCCTGGGGACCAGGCTCGGGACCCCCAGCCTCCTCCCACATCCCTGCCACAGCAAGTGGCTGGCTCCAGACTTCCCTTTTCCCAGATGGGAAAGTCACCCCTGTGCACCAGCCCCTGCGCTTCCTCGACGCTTAATTAGAAGCCTCTCCCTTTCTCTTGGCTCTCTAATTAACATGCCGGGAGCTCAAAAGGAGGCAGCAGCACAATAACCCGGGGAGACGGCTTCCAGCAGGCCCCGGCCTCATTACGGCCGGGCTGGGGAGAGGGAGCAGGGCGTGCTTCACATATGGAAACACCGCAAACAAGCAAGGCTGGGCCAGCAGAGAAAAAGACTTGACCTCTTCTCCCCCGCATTGTGTGCCCGTCATCCCCCTCGGCGGGCACTGGCGGGGCTGGGGCAGCTCTGCCCTTTATCATGGTGATGGGCCGGGCCGGCAGCGCCCGTGCCTGGCGCGACACCGCGGCCACGCTGCTCCGGCTCGGTTTAATCTCCCCACACAAGGCTTTTCTTGGCTGTTTCTTTTCTTCTGCCAAGTCGGCTCAGATCGAGGGCATGCTGTCAGCCTGGGGTGAGGTCCACAGAAACGTCTTCATCCAGCCCCTGCAGAGGGTGGATGGAAGGCAGGACGGAGCCTGAGCCACCACTGCCATGCACAGGAAGCATCTCCCGGCTTTGGCCAGGCTGGACTGGGCTACCAAGTGCAAGGCAGCAGGTCTGGGGGGCTGGACACTGTGGCTGCTGCTGGTTACCACAGCCAGAGGTGGGCAGGATGCTCTGAAGCACCATGATACCCCACGTGGGGCACAGCAGTGGCTCCACTCTGGTTTTCCCCCATGAGCAGAAGGGTGCAGAAATCACAGAATCACAGAATGTTCTGAGTTGGAAGGGACCCATCGGGATCATTGAGTCCAGCTCCTGACCCTGCCCAAGACACCTCAAAAATCCCAGCCTGTGCATCTCTGAGAGCATTGTCCAAATGCTCCTGGAGCTCTGGCAGCCCTGGGGCAGTGACCATTCTCTGGGGAGCCTGGGCAGTGCCAGCACCCTCTGGGGGATGAACCTGATGCACTGTCTTGTCCAAGCTCTTCTTTAAAAGAGCTTCTTTAGGGTGGTCTTCAAACATGATTCAGGGTACACTTGGCCCTGGTAAAGAAGACAGATTGTTCTGCTGAGCCAGCAAACACCATCCCATCTCTCCATGGGATGCTGGACATTCCTTTCAGGACCTGAGCCTAATGCCCTCATTCTGCCACAAGTAACAGGCAATGCAATAACACGTGAGACACTGGGGACAAATTATGGTGGCCTTGGCATATTGTTTCTTCCTCTCCTCATTTTTAGGTGGCTGCATGCCAGCTCTGTGGAGACTACGATTCCTCTAGCACCACACTGTGTGGGTGACTCTGTGGGTTGAGAATTACATCCCCTAAACACTGGGGTATTTTTTGGAGTATCATCTCCTAGAAAACTACTGGAAACCTCAACTGTCACCTCCTTTTGTGCTCTTCCCACATGGCCAAGGCACTTTGCATCAGTGCCTGACTTTTCCTGCCTGACAAGCCTCCACATTCAGGTGCAGAAGAGACCCCAGAGCAGCTCCAGGCCCCCATTAGCTGATGCCTTACCCCTGATGGAGGATGCACGGTCCAGCCCAGCTCTGCTGTCGCCGTGGTGGAGTCCATCAGTGTCTCTGTGGGAGGAAGGGGAAACAAGGAGTCACTGGATGCTGCTGAAAGGACTGAGAAGATGGAGAGGAGCTAGCCCAGGGCTGCAGGGCTGGAGCCCATCCCACACTGAGCCTTTTGGCCACATCTCAGCCAGAGGACCCAGGTATTGGTCCCTCCACCCAACTGCTCCCCACCCACTGCCCACTGCTCCCTGACCCCCATGCAGAATCATGGAATCAAAAAATGTTAAGACTGGAACTGACCTCCAAGATCATCAAGTGTAACCATCAGCCCAGCACCAAAACAATGTTCATCACTAAACCACGTTCACAAGTGCCACATCCACATATTTTTTTAACATCTCCAGGGATAGTGATTTCACAAGTGCCCTGGGCCAATGTCTGACCATCCTTTCCATGAAGGAATTTTCTCTAATATCCAATCTAAACCTCCCCTGGCACAGCTTGAGGCTATTTCCTCTTGTCCTGTATCTTGCTCCTTGGAAGCAGAGCCCAACCCCCACCTGGCTGACCCGCCTGTCAGAGTGCAGAGCCAGGAGGTCCCCCCTGAGCCTCCTTTTCTCCAGGCTGAGCCCCTCAGCCACTCCTGGTGCTCCAGACCCTTCCCCAGCTCCATTCCCTTCTATGGAAATGCTCCAGCCCCTCCATGTCTTAATTTTCATTAGGGGCCCAAAACTCACCCCAGGATTTGAGGTGGGACCTCAAGGTGCCCAGAACAGGCAATGTCTCCTGCTATGAAAGGGGCCTCTTCCATCCATCAGCCAGGCTGGATTTTCCTCCTCTCAGTCCTAAATCCAGGTACCCCAGCCCAGTTCTACCCCTACAGATGAGAAGCAGCCTGAGCAGGGATCCTCCATCCCCTTCTAGTTTCCTTTCCCAAAAGCAGGATATTTTTTTTCTCAGCACTTTGTATAGTAGGGAGAATCCTCAGAGATGCAGTAGGATGTGGGGAGGAACACCACTTTTAGAACTTAAAAGCACTAAAAAATTAAACCACTGCTAAAGCTGATTTTCCAGATGATTTGGGTTGAAATAGGTCAGGTGCTGCTACCACTGACCAGCACAGACAAGTCTTCCTAAGCCACACAACAGCAAAGCCTCCCCATCCTTACTGCAGCTCAGGATACTTCCAGCACTCGAATTCTTTTCATCCCAAATAGCTGCAGGTTGGTTTAACTCCACTGATGGCACAAGGAGGGGTGCTCAGGTTACGGTACCCCAATACCTGGGCCAACATGAGCAGGTGAATGTGCCAGCCAGCCCCATCAGAAATAAATGGGACAGACACTTGGAATCGTGGAATCATGGTTCCAAAAGCCATCTAATATTGAGTCCAACCACTACTGCAGCACTGACGTGTTCAGCACTAAACCATGTCTCTAAGCACCACATCTACACACTTCTTTAACATTTCCCAGGGAGTGTTCAAAAGTCTTTTTTGGACACTTCCATGAGTGGCTTCCAGAGTCTGGGTAACTCTCTGTTCCTCCAGTTCTGCAGCCACATGCTCATGGCAATACAGGGATTTTTCTGCACCACACCCAAAGCTGACAGTTTAAGAAAATAGGACAATATTCCTGAGTTTAGGAAATGCAGTTGAGATATTCTGCCCAAAGGCCTCAAAACACTGAGGCTGGACATGAGGGGAGCATGGTAGACAGACTGCACAGGGCAGCACATGGCCAGTGATTCTGTGCTGAGACCATGGTCATGCCCAGAGGGGAAATTCTGTCCCTCTGCTCTGCTGGGGCAATGTGAATCTGCCCCTGATTTCAGCACATGCCCTGGGGATGCCAACTGCACTTGCAGGGATGTTGGGAAGTGTCCATCCCCCACACACTTCGAGTCCCAGAATGGCTGGGGTTGGGAGGGACCTTCAAGACCATCCAGTCTCACCCTCCTGCCATGGGCAGGGACACCTTCCACTATCCCAGATTGCTACAAGCCCCATCCAACCTGGCTTTGGACACTGCCAAGGGTAGTGGCTCCAGTCCCAGAATGGGAATGGAGAGTTACTGGATGTAGTCATGTCCTTCTGCTGTCCTTCTCCCCACCAGAAAAAAAAGCATGCTGCCACAAACCCCCCAAAAGCATCTCCACCTTCTCCACTTTCACTCCATTGAACAAAAACAAAGGGAGAAAAGCTCAGCCTTGAGCAGATCCATCACGGAGAGCCAGGCCTGGATGCAGAGCTGACAAATGCTCCGTGCATGTGACCTCCTGTTCCCCACTGGCACCCCAAAAATTGCCTCGGCAGCACTGTGCTCCCTGCACCTACTCCTGGCAGTAAATCCTGCTCAGACTGTGGCTTGTTCATTACTCCTGGTTTGAGCCAGCGGTTTCCAGTTCACAGGAAACCAGGATTTCGAAATTTGGTTTTATTCCAAGAGCAAAAAGCAAAAAATAGTTCTTTTCAATTTTTCCCACTAGGAAGAGTTCTGGAAAACAACTAATCCCGAAATGTTGTGGGTCAGATTTACAAAATTTCTTTTTAAACTGAGTATTTGTTTACACAGGGCAATAATAGTGTTTACTTTACCAGAGAATCTTGCTTTTTCATTAAAACACCAGTGGTGTTTGATCTGAAAGGAAAACAACATTTTTCACACAGTGCTAGCAAGAAGCTTTAAAAACCCCCTGAATTTGTTACTTTATCTTAACTATCAATGACAGTGGTGCATAGTAAGTACATTAATAGCAGTGACTAAAATGGAAAAGAAGATATACTCTAAGTCATTACAAATAATTCCCCAAATAAACTTCATTTTTTGAAGCATTTTGCATTTTTAAAAGCCTTTTATTTAATGAAAACTCAGTGCAGTTGAAATGTGGTGTTCAGTACACCTCTGCTCCCACCCCCTTGTCCTCAGCTGAAGGATCCCCTTGGAGCTCTGCATCCACTCTGTCTGGCCCAGAGAGAAGGAGGAGAAGAAATTCATGGGTTTTAAGCAAGTTTTTCCAATGGCAAATTATCTTCCCATAAAAAACACCAGATATTCCATTAATTTTAGTCTGGATTTACACCATTTAGCTGCCAGCTATTGGATTTCCTTTTCTTTCTACAAAGACTCTGCAGTCCAAAACTTTTCTCTCTTGTGGTGCTCATGGGTGGCAAATGATCCATCTCCAAGACAGATAAATTAGCTCAGTTTCCTTCTTCTTCCTCCCGAAACCAGGCTGCTGTTTGAGGCTCTGTTTATGACCCTTCATTGTGCAGGGGGTCCCAGGGCTGTGGTCCCCATGGCACTCAGCTGTAACACTCCAACGTGCCCCTCTTGCAGCCGTTTGCAGAGCTGCTGCCCAGGCTGAAGTCCTTTTGGAGATGGGGTTACACTGAGAAGAAAATGCCTGAACTACAGAAAATTGGCAATAACTGGTCCTCTGAAGCATGGTGACCCTGCAGGGTCAGCACAAGTGGATGTGAATCAGAACCATAAGACCACAGAATGGTTTGGTTTGGGAGGGACCTTAAAGCTCATCTAGCTCCATGGGCAAGGGCACCTTCCACTGTCCCAGTTGCTCCAGGCCCTGAGTAATCCAGAATTACAGAACCATAGAATAGGCTGGGCTGGAAGGACCCACAAGGATCATTGAGTCCAAATCCCAGCCTTGCACAGGAACCCCAACAACCCCAGCCTGTGCCTCAGAGTGTTGTGGAAACACTCCTTGAATTCAGAGAGACTTGTGACCACTGGGGAGCCTGTTCAGTGCCCAACCAACCTCTGCTGAAAAACCTTCTTCTAATACCCAACCTAAAACTCCTCTGACTTAGCTCCAGCCATTTCTTCAAGTCCTACCATTGCTCATCAGAGTGAAGAGATTGGTACCTGCTCCTCTGCTGCCCTTCAGGAGGATGACGAAGAGCACAAGGAGGTCTCTTCCAGTCTCCTCCAGGCTGAACAGACCAAGTGACCTCAGCATCTCTTCATACGACTTTCCCTCCAGACCCTTCCCCAGCTTCATGGCCTCCTTTGGATTGGATGTGCTCTAGTTGCTTAATGTATTTTTAATATTGTGGTGCCCCACTCTGCTCCAGGACTTGAGGTGAGGCTGCCCCACTGCAGAGCACAGCTCCCCTCCCTTGCCTGGCTGCCGGTGCTGTCCCTGATGTCCTCCAGGACACGGGTGGCCCTCCTGGCTGCCAGGGCATTGCTGACTCAGATCCAGCTGGCCCCTGACCAGGACCCCAGGTCCTTTCCTGTAGCTGCTCTCCAGCCTCTTGTTCCCTGGTCCACCCACACATCCAGGGTTGCCCCATGGCCAGTAAGAATCTGGCACTTTCCCTTGTTGAGCTTCACATGGTTGGTGATGGCCCAGTCCTCTGTGCTGTTGAGGTCTCTGCAGGGCCTCCCTGCCTTTGAGGGAGGCAGCAGCTCCTCCCAGTTTTGTATCTTCTGTGAACTTGCCTCATATTCCTTCCAGTCCTATCTCCAAGCCATTAGATGCTGAAGAGCTCAGGGCAATGACAAGGCCCTGCAGTGGCAGGTCACCGCTCTGATGTCATCCCAGTCACTGTCACCCCTTGTGCCTGACCTGTGAGCCAGGTTCTCGCCCATCATGTGATGTGTTTATCCAGCTGGGGGCTGGACAGGTTGTCCAGAAGGATACTGTGAGAGACAGTATCAAAAGCTTTGCTGAAATCAAAACAGATTCCATCTCCTGGCCTCCCTTGATCAATCAGGTGGGCTTACCCTGTCACAGAAGGAAATCAGGTTTGATAAGCAGGACTTCCCCTCATGAAGCCGTGCCAGCTGAGACCAATGACTACGTTGTCCTCGTAGTGTTTCTCAGTATTTCTCAGAATAAAGCTCTCCATTGATTTTACCAGCCAAAGAAGTGTAACTGAAAGGCCTCTAGGGTTTCTAGGGTCCTCCTTCTTGCTCTTCTTGAAAATTAGGACAATGTTCACTGACTTCCAGTCAGCTGGGACCTCTCTGAAATCCCAAGACTGCTCAAAAATCACCAAGAGAGGCTTTGCAATGCCATCAGCAGCCCTGAGAGGA